TTATAAGGCTGTTCAGTTCCGATGACAACAAGACTGGTGACTTCGTCGTTTTAAAACGGTTGCCAAAAGTGGCGCGCACTAACCACGGAGTTTAATGCCTGAACCACAGCCCTCACGTTTAGGAGGCTCAGCGCTGACTTCATGGCACCGGTTCACCTCACCGCCATATTCTGCCTCTGGCCGGTTTGGTCAAAGCATTATATTCGTCATCGGCACATCCTGTAAGGTGCTCAGTCATATCTCACGATCGCCGTGCATAAGAACCATTTCCCTTGAGAAGCTATGCAAACGAACAGCTGGGCACCCAAGCGTCGCCAGCTTTAAGAGTTCCTAGCATCTAATGCGTCTCCAAGGTCACCATCAGCATCCAACAACTGGAACGATTGCAAAGCTGTTGAGGCGTTTGTGTTTCCAAGAGCGGGCTGGCGTAGCTCCATTTTTAAGACCGGGCTGTATTTTGCTCGGATATTTTGTGAAAGCTATAGCTATAAATCATCGCGGTTTGGTGCATTAGTAAGAGCAGCGAATCCAAGAGCATGATAAAGCTATGCACTTCAAGCTATACCGAAGACAGTATGTATCAGCTAAATGGAACTTGGTTAATGCCGCTTGGAAAAGAGTTTTGATAGCAAAAAGCACGAGCAATTTACGCAGCATCTTTGCAAATACGCGGATGGTTTTCCAGGATGGTTTTAGGCACATAGGTAAACTGCAGATCCGTTGTATGATATGCCAAGACTTTACGATCTATTGCAAGCAACTACTTACTATTTTTGGATATTGCAGACTCGTAGTTACTTGGACGTACATATCAGCTACTGTCACGTGCCATTTTTACCTGGTTGGTAGTTCATCAGGGTGTACCACATTGCTCTTCGGACGGTTACTGCTTTGACTGTCACTGGCTTGTCACGGTTCTTACGGCTTGTTGCAGGCTTGTTACGGGCTTTGTTTTATCATTCCTTAGAGATCACTCATGACAACAACTCCTCAGCCTCATCCACTGCTTAGTTTGAAAGGCTGAAACAGCCAAAGCGTCGAGAACAAGCCCTTATTCAGCACGGTGCATTGTTAGTCTCAAGTGAGAACGGCTCCGCTAGTGTTGTAGAGGGGGTAGGTGAAATAACCCGGGGTGCCAAGCGTATGCCCGGGAATTAGCTAGCCACGGCTCACTCAATGTTTGTAAGACGTTGCAAACCAGCCATGTGACGATGCACAGGGCGGATCAACTTCGGAACGAGCTGTGGCATCCGTACTGTTGGCACACCCCGGCACCACTGACGAAAAGAATGTCGCCTCTGGGTGGCCTGTCTGCAGCAGGCATCTACCGCAGGCAGAGCTCATTTCGGGGCGCGCCGTTCTGGCCCGCTTGTATGACGCCACCTGATTGGTCGGTCGTGATGCATCCCGCTCATGGAGGCCGTTTTAGAGAGGTATGACGAGAACGACCTGGACTCACCTGTCGCATCCGGCTGGACAACTCGCATCATGCCAACAGTGGGTCCCTGGGCTGTGCGTCTGAAGCTACGCGGTGGAGGCTGCATTGTGGTAGCAAACACCACGGTTGTCTTAAATAGGATACTTTTGTCACTGGCATGCTGCCTTATTTTGTCGTCAAGGCTGGCGTAGCCAGCCATCTATCAATCTATCTATCAATATATGTATACATATATATATATATATATATATATATATATATATATATACATATTCAACAGTGTCAGTCATAGATTTTCCTTCGTGCTGCAAGGAAAGCCTTAAGGCTTTTCCGGAATGACTTCGGACCATGCTTAAGCCCGCTGTCATGACCCTAACGGCTTATGATCTATGAAATACAATATTTTTAGAGATCATGACGGTGGCGTGCTGAAAAGCGACACATAACGTCATTTTCTCGCAGGAAATGCCCGAAAAGAAATTTTCTGGACAGCTTTTTTGAACCTCATTGCTCTGAAGACCATTCAAAGCGATATGACTTTTTTTCAAGGCCAGGTGGACTAAAGTCAAAATAGGTAAAACTTTACCTTTGCGTCAAGATGTGACCTTCTGAAGTTCATTACATATAAACATTAACAGGACATTACCAACTGCTTTAAAAGGCATTTCACCGCTGCTGTCGTCACCTACGTGACCTTTTGTGACACGACCGGACAGACCAATGCAACAAAACCTTCACCTCTTTGGCCTGACACATCACATCACATCACATCACATCACAGATCACACCCGTCAGTGTACATTGGTGCCCAACTGATGGAGCTTTCTTCAACATATAATGAACGCCGTTTTTCGCACTGTTGTAGCAAACGTAGCACTTGAGATAGCAAGAATCTATGACTCACTGTTTTTACTCATGTGACCTTATCTGGCCTGTCAAAAGTCACATCCACAAGCGTCCCATCCAACTGACGTAGCTTGACGGCAGCGCTCAAATGCCGATTTTCGTGGGCTGCTTCAAGTTTTTGATACCTTAAAGGGCCTCTGAGCTTACCGCGTAGGACGGAGGTAAAAAAAAAAATGTTCGCAGCGTTGAGCTGAGTGGATGACCAACAGCAGGCATTCCAAGTATTGTGGGGCCCATGGAAAGTGCGCGTTTCCCGTGAGTGACGTATGCGGAGGCAGCGAAATATGCTTAAGCGGGCTTTCAGAGAAAACTCTGAGACAGCTGGGACAGCTTTTGTTCATCATGCGTTTAAATTCCCCCGACGGACAGAGACAATTGATCGTATATCATCCTGCGACAAGTTATGGATACCGAGGAGAACAGGACATCACTCATCGCATAATAATTCATGCTCGTATCCACCTAAATCTAATACGCCGGAACTGCTTCCCACAACAGCGCTGCCATCGTCGTTCTCCATGGCCATAAACAAGGCTGAATCGCATCAAGACCTACAACACAGCTGCTTCGAGCCCACCAAGACGTTTGCAGGCTCATAATTTGCACATACACAGCGGCAGCAGCCCGGCACTACCTTCCACTGACAGGACCTCTGCATAATCTTGCTGGAGGCACGACAGGCTTCTAAGCACAGGCGCACTTCTATGGGCCGCTGGAGTGACGGCCTTACGCGAGCTGCGCCCTAAACCGGCTCGAGCCAGATGGACTGCCCCGCGAGGTCACGGCGGCATTGGGCACCACCGCGCCGGTGGAGACGCTCCCAGGCGCACGTGAATGGCCGGGATGGGCGGAGGATAGCCGGCTAGTGGCGGCAGATGTGCCAAAGTCTGAACAGCGTGAGAGTTTCGGAACGCCCGTGCCGCACGCAGTTCACCGACGGAAGGGTGCAAAGGGGTGCTGGACCACCCGTGGCATACACACAACGCGCAACTGGTGAAGCGGTGGGTACAGTGGAATTCTAGGGCACACAATCGGTAAGCAATGCACCTGATGACAAGGAAGATACAGTGGGATCTTGGAACACGCACATACACGCACGCACCGCACGCACGCACGCACGCACGCCGCACGCACGCACGCACGCACGCACACACACACACACACACACACACACACACACACGCACACGCACACGCACACACGCACACACGCGCACACACGCACACACACACACACACACACACCACACACACACACACACACACACACACACACACCACACACACACCACACCACACACACCACCCGCACACCCCCCCCCCCCCCACACACACACACACACCGTGTGTGCGATGGGTTCCTAGACCACTCTCTCCACACACAATGCGCTGGAAGAGGGTCATAGGAGAAGTCTGGGTTGCCCTCTCCGCACGCCACACAGCGGTGGAGTGAGCGGAACACCTTGGGTCAAGGAGCGGCTCGCAACAAGCGACGGTTCTCTGAATTGATGCGTTGTGGGAGCAGGTCATGATGCAGCATCATGATGAGCAGATCAGCAGGTCATATTTGTCACGCGAGAAATGCGAGGGTGTATCCTGCCCCTGTTGGCGGCCTCTGCGTGTTGCGTGGGATCGGTCTGAGTAGGGTCAGTCTGAGCCCGGTCGGGCGCCTAGCTGTGTCCGCTCGGCGTGTACAGCATCAGAGCTGTGCCTTATATTGCAGTGTTTGATGTAACGTATCGTGCCAAATATGCACACACACGGTTAAAATAAATCTGGACACTACTGTGGCATAACGATTTATTGATAATGAAATCGGGCAGTCTACGCGTGTAAATACATTAGGGCGCTGGCAGGCTTTCAGACTGTCCGTTGGTCGCTTTCTACGACTAACTATTGCCAGTTGGTTGGATCACCAGATATAGAAGAAGTGTGCGCTATGTATAATGTTAACGTCATGTCCCTTATTCCAGGACTCGGGTATGACAACATTGTTTTTTGTACCATTGACAGCCAGGAAATAAGCTTCAAATAAACTGATATATCTGAATTATAACTTCGAGTGTTGGTGAGTTCGGGCATGACGGGTTGTCATGTCTTTATCTGTAAATATATACAATTTGCATTGAACTCTATTCTAGCATTGGAGAGCACACAGACACCAACAAAATAGTCCCAGTTGTATTAAGAAGCACTCATCACTCACACACGAAACTGCTTCTAACTGATATCATTTATAAATGGTAATCACTGCATATGCTTAAGAACTTCACGCGTCTCATCCACTCCCTGAACGACTTCATATCAAACAATCCAGGCTATCCCCAGGCGCAGACACGCATCTCACACGCGCACAGGCAGTCCACGAACTCTCGTCGCCGCAGACGCTACGTCTTTATCACAATGTCCTACGTTCGCGCGCGGGCCGCGGACCGCGGGCCGCGGCCTCTCTCCACCAGGGTGGAGAGCAGTCAGCACTGGGTGCCACCAGGGTGCGGCCGCCTGGTCCCAGCTGCAGAGCATCCGCGACACGCGGCTGCCAGGGCCGGGCCCCGAGGCTGGCGGCGGACGGGCGCGGCAGGCGGTACACGCCCGGCCGCCCGCGCTGCGCCGGTGTGTGAACCAGCTATGGTCCCCGGCTCACGTCTAGCCTAAGCGAGTCTGAACGACAGAAGATCCTGGCTTATGTAAGCGCGGTACGGCAGCCAGCCTATGATAAAAGAGCTCGGATTCCGACCTTTAAAAACGGCGTTGTTTTGGCAGAGCCTGGATTCCGGCCCTGAACAGCCGGCACTTCCTTGGCAGAGTCCGGTCTCCAGTCCCGGACAGACGGCACTGTCCCGGAAGAGTCCAGATTCCGGCTCCACGCGGCCGTCATAGTCTCGGCAGAGCCCGGACTCAGACTCAGTACAGCCAGCACTGTCTCGGCGGAGTTCGGATCCGGATCCGACGCTCTTCAGCCGGCACCGTCTCAGCAGAGTCCGGCTCTAATACTCTTCAGCCGGCACGGTCTCAGCAGAGCTCGGATCCGGATCCGGAGCTGTTCAGCCGGCACCGTCTCGGCAGAGTCCGACTCTGGCGCTCTTCAGCCGGCACAGTCTCAGCAGAGCTCGGATCCGGATCCGAAGCTGTTCAGCCGGCACCGTCTCGGCAGAGTCCGGACCCCGACCCCGCACAGCCGGCACGGTCTCGGCAGAGTCCGGACCCCGGCCCCGCACAGCCGGCACTATCTCGGCAGAGTCCGGTTGGGCACGGGGGTCGCTCGTCCGCGCATCATCTCCTCGGGAGTCGGCGCCGCCACCGGCACCCTCCGCATGCCTGTCGTGGAGCGACTGCGGGCAGAGGGGAGCCGTCAGCCGTCAGCCGTCAGACGGCCGCGGCTGATAACGCGGCCCGTCGGCTGCCTGCTGACGTATGACAAACTGACAGATGTGACCACGCGCTGTCACATCCGTGAAGGTCACATCCTTGACGGACGACGGTCAGACGACGGACTGGGTTGCTGTTACGACAGTTACTGGTCATCTCTGACCAGTAACTGTCGTAACAGCAACAGTCATGGCCAACCCTGGCCATCACTCGTGTCATCGGAGACCGATGGCATGATGTCACATTCCCCACAGATGAGGGACTGATAGCATTTTCTGGCGTCCGTGACTGACGGAGTTTGACACGTCTCTGACTGGTATTAGTTGACTGAATGCAGACAAGCGTACGGTTAGCGCCACCAGCCAATGGCCACCGGGAGTTATGTGTTTCACGACACCAGTTTACACGAAGAGCGCGGGGCGTACATGGCGTTAGACATGCTTGTAATTCGAGCGAGAACAATTCGAGCGAGAACAATTCGAGTGAGAACAATGTGACACCACAATCACGCAGACAGTTTCTAGGAGCTAGAGCGGAAGAGAACGAGCTCAACGTTAGTGTAACGTTACCTGAGCGTTGGCAGCGACTCAGGCCCACTGATCGCTACGTGCGTGTGTTACCTACGTGAGGACTCCTGCTGGCTGTAACGACGATCGCGTGACGTATGGCGTCGGATATCTCAGCTTCTCCTTGACACCTCATGTCAGGGAGACTCACCCAGCAAAGCCCTTTCCTTTCGTTGCTGCTTCTACGTTTAAGCAAGCTTATGGTAGCGTTCACTAAGTTGTATTAGACATGCCCGGAAACCATTCAGCTTTGTATCCGTTTAAGTTGTTCCCAGACCTCTCGCCAACGCTCATGCGGGAACATGACGTTAAGTTCAAGCACTCTTTACAGACAGAAAACACGAATGTCTGTAATGTTTACATGTATTGGATACGAAAGAACTGTTTCATCGGGGTAGCTGTGGCTCAGCTAAAGCGGTGATTATGACGCTGATGAAATTCCACGTTTTGACGGTTGTGCCCACATTTTAGGTGTAAGGCGGCAGGAGGCATTTGAAGATTTACACCTCCAAGGCAGCACTTTCTCCTTTGCCATATCCCGAGTAAACCCCATGCTATTTTACCACGGAGATTTTTCAGCAGAGGGGTTGCCAGATACTTTTAGGGATTAGGGATTATTTCGGCGGATCTTCATCACAGAACAAATACCACCGAACGAAAAGTCTGCTAATCCCAGTGCGCCCGTCGCTGGATCGTCCCTGGTCCGTACTTACCCGTGGTATGCGCCGATAGGTCATGGTCCGTGTGACCTGCAAAGAGGTGATAAGCTAAGCGGACGCCGAAAACTCGGCTGGAGAGCGGGTGTTTGTTAGCACAGCTGCAAAGTGCAGGGAAGTGTTGCTTTGTGAGATGAGCGTGTGCAGTGCTGGGTGGTGTACTGTTGTGGAGGTTAGCGCGCAGAAGCTGTCGCGAAAGAAGTGAGAAGAGAGGCCTCGGTGGCCAGAGAGGAACGAAGGGAAGAGAGCGATAAGCAGAGTGCAGCACAAAACCCCACACACAGACACACAGAGGCTGCTGCCAAGTCTAGAGTACACTTTACGGAGCTTCTTGGTCTCCAAGTTGCATATAAGATACAGTACTTTGATTGAAATGCTTTTAAACTTTTTGGGCACGGTTGGGCAAACGCGTTAAACATTAGTTTGTTTTATACGCCTTTTTTCATATTACAGATCCCCATTCACAATCGAATTCACGTAACACCGTGATATTTGACCGAGGGAATCAAAAGGCGTTTGGTCTAGGCCATACCCTGCCCAGGGGCATGATTTTGGCGCCGCAACTTTCAAATAAAACTCTACTAGCAGCATTCGCTTCGTATTTTATGAGGCACCCTGTTCTTGCTCTTCAAACGAATGCTGTGATAACATGCCTGTGCCTAAGCCAACAAAAGCAGACGTAAACTGTGCATTGCGCAAAACCCCCACAAGCCAGCAGCGTTCGCGATGCTAACCGTTTGGAGTCCTCTTCCTCCTTCCTTGCGATCAGCTGCCGCTTCCACGGCGGCAGTGACTGGATCTTCTGCTTTTCCAGGTCCTTGAGACGCTGCTCCTCGGCCGCGGTTTTGGCGCGCTCCGCTGCCTTACGCGCCAACATTTGGCGCTTCCACGCCGGGATCGTGTTTCCGGTGGCGTCCACTTCGGGGATCTGCCGGAAAAGGAACATCTTTTTATGTTTCGATGACGACGTGATGGGGCAGCCCGGGTGGGCGCATTTGGGGGAGAGCACGAGCAGATTTGGACAGCAACGTACCACACAGAAGGCATGGAGCATATCACAAAGGTGACGAAACGCAACCAAATAGGCAGCGACTTCACATCCCATTGCAGCACAGAAGAGAAGTTTGAGCATGGAGCCAGCACAAACCGCCTCAGTCAGCACCGTCACAAACAACATCAATAGCTTTGCAGACAGGCCATTTTTCATGTTATGCTGGTTCTCAGCTCGACACTTGTCGTTCTTATGGCTTTACGTCGTGACGGCTCGTGTGGTTTTAGCTCCGTCAGAGGCGGGCTATTGCAAGGCGAAAGCTGCCTCGATGGATGGCATGGTGTGATCGTGACCATGACACGCGCCGGACCGTCCATGGACGGGAGCAGGATGCCAGTCGTCACACCTCGCTCAAGAAGGCGTCGGCGGTGAACTCCCTGACGAGCTCCTTGCTCTCCTCGCGCAGGATCTGGACGGCAGACTTGGCGCGCTCCTCCCGCAGCTTGCGCACGCCGTCCATGTCCTTGCTCCGCTTCAGTTCGGCGATCAGGTCATCCTTGCGCTGCACGTTCACCAGATCGCCGCCCGCTGCCGACACAGCACCGGTGAGGGCAGGCCGTCGCCGGAGGGAAGCCGGCGGGTGGTGAACGGGCCGTTAGGAGTTGCGTACCAGGATGCACGGCAGGGGTAACAAGCCAATCAGGCCAACGGCAGGACGGGATGTGGACGCTCAGCAGATCCCCGAGGGACAGCGTGCACTTCTATCAGGCTGCTGGGAGGACACGGCGGTCATGTTTGCCAGATCAGCGCCGTGACTGAACGGGTGTGTTCGTCACGGCGCTGCTAAATCAGTGGAGTATTGACTAGCTCACTGGCAGGAGCGAACAAGCACATTTACCATACCAGCCACCCGACAGAACACGAAGCTGCAGACCCCCGGCAGCAGCCATGGAGCGAGCTCGCATATGACGGAGCATTTGCCGGGTCAACCGGACGACAGATTAGACGGCTGTCAGACGGCTGAGAATGCGGACAAGGACATGGCAAGCTCGCCATCCTAGCGCCGATGATGTCATAGAGTCGGCACTGACTCAGGATTAAGTGGAAGTTATTCACGCCAGACGAAGCAGCGATACTGTTTACATTCCCTTCTAGGTGGACAAAGAGCACCGATAGCGTTCGCCATTTTGAATGCAAGGAAGAGGATCTCAGTCGAGACACATAAATCAGACAGCAAAGCATGTACCATACATGCTCAAATCATGGCAAGACGGTCTCCTAATTACGTGCCCTTCTTGGAGGCCGCTTATCAGATCTATTATGACATTGCCAGTGGGAAGGTTAAACCCCTTGACAACCTTCACCGTTACAGATATCGAACAAGCACAGCGGGCAGAGGCTTAGTGAAAGGTGAAGGAGGATGCCTTCTCAACACAAAGGAAGCGAAATCCCACGCCAAACCAGTCGCATAACGTCCACATACGACGAAATACGTGTCACGTGACGCCACCTGTTGGCGACGCCACACCACACACCTGGAGCGCCGGTGGCACAGCCGACGGGCGCCGAGTACGTCTTGGTGAGCTTGTCCGTCTTGCGCAGCTGCACCTTCTGCAGCTCATTGGCCGAGATAGCGACCAGCGGCGGCCCGGCGGCGGCCGGTGGCGGCGGCGCCGGCGGCGCCTCCTGCGGCACCTCGGGGATGGCCGGCAGCGGCGGTGGCGGGGGCGGCGGCTGCGACGAGGCGATCGACTCCACGCCGCTTGTCGGAGCTGAGGCTGGCGGGGCCGTCCTCGCCGGCCTCACCGCCCGCCGGTGGCGCCGCCGTGCGGCCGCCAGGCGGCGCCACCGGCCTGCCGCCGATCGAACGGAGGTACTCGGACGGCTTGATCAGCTTGTTGGGTCGGCCAACGATGGGAACTTGGGCGGGATGAAGGGCAAGTGCCATGTGCTTGGGCTTAGCGGCCGGACGTAGGGTGGGTTGGAGCCGGCGCCGCCGCCCTGCTGCAGCTGCCCGGCCAGCTGCCCAGCCAGCTGGTCAGCCAGCTCGATCGGCAGCGACGTCGGCCGACTCAGCTTATCGTGACCTGAGGAGCAACACGCAAGGGGTGTTTGTGAGCTACTAGTAAGTGCGGCCGCACCATAAACCGTTAGTTTGGCTGTTGAGCTGTTATGAAGTGTGCATGGGTGATGAACAGCAAAGATGGACGCAAAGCCAAGCAGTTAAACAGAAATGAAATTGGCATATCGGAAAAAAACAGTTGAAACACGTACAATTCAAACTCTACCTTTCCGCGCCCCAAGCGTTCACGTTATTGCCATTCGTGTGCAGCTTCAAATACGTACGGGCTTCTCGCAACGTTGAAAGACTCGTGTTGTCCGAATTCTGCGTGGTGCGCTTCATATGGCTGGGCCGCAGTGTCGGCTCTTCCGTAGTGCTGCCCTCTGCCGGCGCCGGCTCCGCCCCGATCTGCCACGGCAGCGGGGGCGGCGGAGGAGGCGGCGGCGGCGGCGGCGGAGGCGGTGGGGGCGGCGGCGGCGGTGGTCCCTTCTGGGCGGCTGCCTTGGGCGGCGGCGGCGGCGGCGGCGGCGCGGCCGGCTCGCGGCGCTTCTGCTTCGGCGGCAGCGGCGCCGGTGGCTCGTCGGCCGGCGCCGGCGCCGCCGGCTTGGGAGGTCGCGGAGCGGGGACGCCGCCGGCCCCGCTGGCCGGGCTGGCTGTGATCAGGGCTGAGCTCGGCGAGGAGAGAGCATGTAGCCGTCGCAGCGGGCTCTTGTCGCGGCTCGAGCCGCCACCGTCGCCAAACTCTGCAACGGCGGACCGGCAGCGGTTAGCTGGCCCGGCAGAGGTGCACGGGAAGGGTGGGAGCCACTGGACTTCTTCTGGTGTTATGCATCATGTGAAGTGGTCTTGGTTCTAGCACTGTTACACATGTGCTAAAGAAAAAAAAAGTTGCTATGCTGGGAAGAGTATGAAGGATGTGTATAGCTTCGTTGATACACCATGAATAACAATTGGAAAAGGAGCGTTAACTGTAATGCAGCGTAATAATGTACAGCTTCGTCACTCTCCGGCCAAGTACCATATCAGTTGCATCGACTTTCAAGATTGCTAAAATTCTTTCACCCTTCAAATTACTTCCGAAAATGTGCAATAGATCAGAGTATGAGCAGCGATAAGCCATGACAAACATAGTTAAATCGCTGTGCTCAGCATTAACGTCTGGAGGTGGTGACTATACCACTCGTCTTCACTACATTTGGCTACGGTTGGTAAAGCGATAACTCGATAAAAATATGTGTTGGTAATAGCTGGAATAGTCTTAAACAGTTTTGGTTTTGCACTCGTCCACAACAGCCATAAAAGGTATAATCCAACGTGTCATAGTATCTGATCATCTACCCGCACAACCAGTCTGTACCTCGCCAAAGTTGGTGCGGAAATGTGGAAATAGAAATGAGAGTGACTGAGGACCGTTTGTCGTGACACAAGCCAAAGAAGGGGGAGGGGCCATTTTTCGTGATACAGGCCAGTGAGAGGAAAGGAGGAATCGTTTGTCGTGACACAGGCCAGTGAGAGAGAGGGAGGAGGGGGTCGTTTGTCGTGACGCAGGTCAGTGAAGATGAATGTCGGTCGCCTGCCGTAACACAGGTCACTGGGAGGGAAGCAGGGGAACCTGAGTCGACGAGCGGCAGTGAGTGACCATACCTGGCGGAGGCGGGATCGATTCCGCATCCGACACCTGCTCGTAGACCTGAGCCACGGTCTGGAGGCTGTGTGCCCCGACTAGCTTGCCGTACAGGTCTGCCAAACACACGGCTGACCAACTGAGCGTCCCTGGACTGCCGGATCGCGACAGCCTGTCTGGGTGCCCTCGTGACAACTGACAAAGGTGAACTGACATATGACACTGCACCATATGACATTCGGTCGGTTAAAGAGCAACAATGAAAGGTGCGTGTGCCCTGTACACGCAGCTCTGCCCAAGACGGTCCCGTGATTAAGTCCATGGGGCTTTGACTGAACTCTTGGGGATGTCTTTGAGACAACAAGACGTCTGGTGGGTTAGGTGACGTGACATATGTTTTTGTCTGTTTGCACTCTGTCTTGACTTCAACAGACTCTCCAGGCTTTTCAAACCGCGTAATCTGAACCTTCCAATGACGTACACAACCTCTAATACGGCACGCGCGTTACAGCATTCGTCTTGTTGTCAAGCACTCAAGATATAGACCAACTCAGTGAGCCGAATACCCATCGTGATGTCACCCATCGTAGGTGTATACGGAAGTGAACTATCAGTGAGTGATACCTGGTGTCCACGTGGAAACGAAAGATAAATGACTCATCCAATCTAGGACGAGGGCGTGGATGACCTAGAGTTTCACCACGGGGCGGGGCCTGTAGATAGCATTAAGGTTCTGAACAAACAAACATATTATCGAGAAAGGCCTGGCATGTTGACGGACATTAGAGCCCTCAAATGGTGGTGAAATAAACAACAATTAAAGGAGGGTTTCCATTTGAATTTCAGCACCATCACAACAAGATCATCAGCTCGTTCTTGGTGAACAGGAACTTGGCCTGTACCTTCTTCGTGTTTTCCATGGCTGTCATCGGAGCGTGAAGACGCATCCGTTTGCTCGGCGGGGCTGGGCTCGGAAACCGTGTAACTATTCTCGGATTTCGTCGAAGCTGTGAAAGAACGAAACGGTGACGTTTTCTGCACTCTGAACAACAACGTACACAAAATGATGCAATATTTGTTGCACTGTTGTACGACATGCAGCTCACAGACCACGAGTACGTATATGGGTACAAACCTCAGTTCCATGGATTATAAGCAGTTGGGGGGTGGGGGATAACTAGAAAATACTGATATGGTCCCTAATCACTTCTCGAAACGTCGTGATAATGCACTGGCCAAATTTGGCTACGAAACACAGTGAACGAACTGAATAGCGTAGTGAAACAAAAAAAAACATTCGCCTTTTCTAACATTATTTACAACACCATCCATAACATAGAAAAACAACAACAAAAATATATTTGACCAAGTCGTAGGTCCCCCCCCCCCCCCAAATAAAGCATTTGCAGACTAGGCCCGAGTCTCGGTGTAAAAACGCCGTGGTTTTCCGTGCACAACGCAAGGTGGAAAGCTTCTTCTGACGCAGCAGAAATTGATCGGACGAGGCATTGCCGCGACTGCCCACAGCACGTCCGTCCCAAACCACGCACGACAGAAAAAGAACACCATGCCTTCTATTCCACCGCCTGACTCGTCGGGAGCACCACCGCCATCAACAGCACGCACTTCCTACCTTGGGTCCTCGGTAAACTTTTGCTGGACGTCGGCGCTGGTGGCGGCGGCGGGGGCGGTGGTGGCGGCGGCGGCGGCGGCGGTGGCGGCGGAGCCTGTGCCGCCGGCGCCGCGCGCTTCAGCTTCTGCTTCTCGCCCTCCTTCCTGCGGCGCGGCGCCTTCTTCTCGGAGCGCTGCTCGCTGCCCAGCGTCAGCGAGTGGAAGAGCTCGTTGACGCGGTGGTACACCGAGTCGCCCGGTCGTGCAGGTAGAAGGGCCGGTGGCCGGCGTTGAGGGTCTCCGGCCCGCCAGGGGGCGCGGCCGAGCCGGCGGCCGGCGCCGCGGACGGCGCCGGCCGGTGCAGGTAAAACGGCGAATGCTCGCCGTTGGAGCTGCCGCCGCTGTAGTAGTGCGACGACGCTGATTCGGTGGAGCGGGGGCTGGACGGACCCGACGAGTCGCCTGCCGATGTCTGCGCGGCGAAGGCGTGCACTCGTCAGCGCCAGCAGCGACGGCCAATGGGGAAGCTGATTACAACGGACACTGTCAGAGGCCTCCATCCAAACGCACGCTCGCTAGCTTACTGCATATCAAACGCACTTTCCCTAGACTTAAAACCGTCTGACGTGACAACACAAATGGTGAGCATCGCCAGCTCAAATAGTCGGCACATCAGCAGCACATGTAGCCTGCTATCACCCAATCGAAGACCAGGTCAATGACACGCGCTCGCGCGCCGCGCGCGGGGCTTCGGCAGTGTGCTCGCCTTCTCTCGACAGCAGCACGGGTGCGAGTTGGTGTTGGACTGGCGGCCGCTGTCCGTGTCCTCGTCCAGGTCGTAGTCCGGATCAGTGCCGTGCTGCACCAGCAGGGACAGGCACTGCGGGGCCGCGTCAGAGCACTCAGGCGAGGCCGCGAGCGAGCGACGGCTTGCTGGAGCACTGGGCAAAAACACTTCACGAGGCATACCTAGAACGGACTTCTGCTCTACTGCCAGCGTGCAGTGCCACAAAGGAAATGCCAATTTGCATTCAAGCTGGAGGTCGGGACATCGTTCCATCTCTGCTATCATCTTCCCACGTCACGGTGACTTAGACTCATAATAAACGTGAACATTCTCCACGCCGAGGCAGGGATTAGAAGGTGTGCAGAGCCGAGGACATTCAGCAAAGGTAAGTACATTCCAGCTCAGAATAACTTCAGGTATTCCATAGAATAACTTTGCCAAGAGCAGAACGGCTTCCGGTCTAGCCCCTTCTTCCCCGGCCTAACCCACCTCTATCCGCTCGTTCTCGGCGGCGTCGTTGATCGGCGACTTGCCGTACTTGTCCAGCACTATTTTGGAGCCGTGGCGCAGCAGCCAGCGCACCATATGCGCGTTGGCCGCGGCTGGCGGCGAAGTGCAGCGGCGTGGCGCCGTCGCTGTCCTCGCATGTTCACGTCCACGTCCTTCTCCAGCACCTGGGACGAGCAGATGATGCTCACGATGACGCGGCGATGACCGCCGATCTTTGCGATGACGAACGCTTGTGGTCCCCACTAACCCCATCAGTCTTTCAGCACAGCACCTAATGCTGTCTTTTGTCGACCTCTCCACCCTTCGTCTTATCATCATAGCAAAATATTTCTCTCATCGTTTCAGGCTAGGGACTGTTTGTGACGTGCGCTTTTGCCGTGTAGACTACGGAAGCCTGTCCCCGATGCATCCGTAGTCGGTGTGCGTAAGTCGGCCGTCTCGTCGCATCGCTCGACCGCATCTCGCCCCGAGCCGGGGTCGGGGTCGGGGCCGGGGCTGGCGAGCGTCGGCGGCGGTGACCGGCGGTCATCAAACCGTGACCAACCGGACACGCTCGACCACGGGGTCAGTCGGGGCCATCTGACCGGACGCCCACCGCACGGCACAGCCCCTGTGAAAGGAGCACAGAGGGACCGGCCTCTGGCTCCTCCGGGAGTACACGGGGACAGGGGGTACAGACAGACTAGACCACTGGCTCCCCGCAGTACAGAGGGGCCGTTGGTACAGAGGGGCGGGGACACTGGCACCCCGGAGCACAGATCGACCCGGGGTACAGATAAACTAGACCGCTGGCTCCCGGAGTACAGAGCAGAGTAACTGTACCGACTGTACAGAGTACAGTTGGTAGAGTGGGGTGGGGTCACTGGCACCCCGGAGCACAGATCGACCCGAGGTACAGATAAACTAGACCGCTGGCTCCCTGAAGTACAGAGGGACGGGGGTACAGACGGACTAGACCACTGACTCCCCGCAGTACAGAGTTGGTACAGAGAGGCGGGGTCACTGGCACCCCGGAGTACAGATAAACTAGACCACTGGCTCCCCGCAGTACAGAGGGACCGAGCGTAAAGAGAGACTAGACCACTGGCTCCCCGGAGTACAGAGGGACCGGGGGTACAGGGGGATGGGTCACTGGCTCCTCGGAGAACTCAAAAACCGGGTCATCGGCATCGTGGAGTACAGCGGGGCCAGGTCACCAGTGGTCAGAGATACAGAGGGGCAGGGTCACTGGCGCCCCTGAATTCAGAGAGTCCGGGTCACTGGCGCTCATGAATACAGAGGGACTGGGTCATCCATGCGCAGGCCAAATATGTAGATTGTACCATGTATGGCGGTTTCAGAGGTCTGGAAACCAGCTGCTTGAGCGGAATGTAGGTGTGCATGAGATGTATAATTATGCGGCAAGCAATTGGTTATGTGGACCGGTCCGGTCTGATCACAGCCACTTGCGCACAGAGAGCTGGCTGCACAAACGCCTTCGTGTTTTTTTCTAAAAAATTCAATCCAGTAGCTTTTTATATTTCTTCAGATCACCACACGATTAAGCCGGCTTGCTTCTGGGAAGGGAGCGAGCCACGGCCGTCAGTCTGCATGGCTCGCTGCATGTCCCAATGGGTGGCACCCCGCACGCTCCCCTCCGCCGGTGATCAGCGGATGACTCAGCGGCAGGTGAACCCCATGTCCCGCCCCTCAGTCATGGGTGACTCGTTCGACGCTGGGAGCTGGCTGAACGGCGACTGGGTCGCCCGTCCAGCCCCACACCGACGCGGAATGGCAGCGGGGTTGGAGTGCGGCTAGGTGTTTGATGCGGCCTTTCGGAATGGTCAGAGATATTTAGGCTAGAAGGCCTTAAAAGGAATGTTCCACATTTTTATGGGGTTTTGAAATACACTTGCTTTTTCGGAGGAAATTCGGTGCAGTTCACACCCTGCCTTTGTAACGACCTACTCTAGTTGCTGAGCTATATGCCCGCGAAGATGTGCAGACTAGTTCCAAGGCCATTCAGGCATGCATGACGCGTAGCAAATTCATTAAAATCCTGCCATCCTATATGCCATGCGGCGTTCAAGGCAACTGAAAATGTGCTCGTCAAGCCGTTCAGAACTGGCGTCCGAGGGCACGATTTTCTAATACAATGGGCATGAATCGGTTCTCCATCAATGTTGAGCAAGTTGTGTAAGTTTCTCTGACAGCTGGTTAGTTGGATTAGAGCCTTTTCGAACAAATTCATAATTTCAGGGCTACGGGATGAATGAGAATGGATAATAGTTATGCCCCATAATGGTGGGGCAGGACTACATGTGCCTGGAGGAGGGGGCAACCGCCGAGCTTTAGCCCACGTGACGACCCCTCGGCGGGGCTTGCGCTGGGCCACCGGTCGCGGTATCCCTCCAGAAGGCCTCTTGGCCCACTCATGGCTAGCGCATGCAGTTCCGGATAAGAGGGGTGTCGTGAAGATTCAGGATAAGGTGAGAAAGAGGATAAGAGGGTTGGAACCTACGAATCACATTTTGTGCGACATGAGATAAAAAGTTGGACCTAATTGCCAGCTATTACGAAAGTAAGACCAATCGTGAGGTGACTTAATCACAGCGCCACAACCGAGAATAGGAATACAAGGAAATGTCTAAACTCGCAGGTAAGTATGCAAGAAAACCACGAAAAAGGGACAGCACACGAAAACATATGATAGTTGGCTCAGCGAACACTTCCAGCAACGCCACTACCATCTCTCGGCGAGCTTAAGTACTCCTTGTGAGTGCTTGGGTGGCAATTTCGCGCGTTCAGGCTGCCAACGCCACAAACTCATACAAACGCAATCAATGATGCTATGACGCAATCAAACAATGCCGTAATGAGGAGCATATTTACTACATAGAGAAATATTGATGTCTAGTGCGGTCTTTCCATCTTAAAGGGATAGTTATAATTATAAGTGAGCTTATTTCGTCATATCTGATGCCTCTCTCAACATTGTGAAATATGGAGCATTTCCTTTAATTGTGAGTTTGGTGTGTATGTGAACAGCGTATCGACAGGTGTAATGAAGCGGGGTAATTACCAATATCATAGAGCAGTCATTCGACGGAATAAATGCAGAACAAACCGTATCAAGCTTCTTTTTACCCCTTAAAAACGTTTGGAAAAATACTTATAACTATTCAAGTATATAAATGACACACTTGGGGTTTCGGGGACAGGATCCATCCGGAACAGGTTGATGCACAGTCAGCCATGCAAGGTACGCTCGAACGAAGACAGTAATGGATCCGTAATCATAAAAGCAGACGTCGGAGCAAACAGCCTGAACAACAACAACCATATACCCCACTCTTTCCGCCGACGCAATAAAAGCCGGCCTGCAGCAAATGGCCCAACGAGAGGCAACATCAAAACTGTGCTTGACGACTCGCACCGCGCGTCGATTCCGACTCCCTCGACCCCGATCCCGCCCGGCGCCGCAGATCGCGCTGGGTGGCCGGGCGGACCGGTATTTGGGACGGGCGGGAGGAGACATTCACGGACCTCGATCGCTCGAAAGCATCGGCCGCCCGGTGTGAAATGTGAGCCGCGTTACGGTCGGGGCGAGGCCCAGATTGCGACTGCCGACTGGTCGGCGCCGCCTCTGCGGTTGCATGGGATGGCCAGCTGAGTGACTTGTAAAACGACGTGTGAATAGAGCGGAGCCGAATTCAGGCGATGGATGGCGCCATGTGATTCATTGCAGTCGCCAAGCGGCCACGGCCCGGGAGCTAGTTTGGTTCCCGCAGCTCCTGGTTCAGTAATATATGACTGTCTTTGACACGGCTGGATAGCGAAAGCCTAGAAACACACATAAGGGGGTTCAATACGTGCCTAGAAACCCATGCTGGGTGAAGAGCGTGCTCCGTTCAAACTGGGTCACCGACGAGCATGTGATTGCCGACGTAGTGGCCAAATGGCCGGGCGGTTGCCGTTTTCTGGTCGCTTGCACGTCACGTGATGTCGGACACTTTCGAATTACATCGGCTGGCCCTATTTCCATATTGTTCTTTCGTGAAAGATTCCTTGGGCACATCTCCGGGAGATCACTAATCGCTTACTTGGGGCGGCAATTAGACCTGATCCGCACGCCACCGTCTCACCCGAGGCGAGAGAAAGCTCTATGTCGAGCGCGGCATCTGCCATGCCGACTTTCATTAACATTAGCATGATTTTAACATTTTGCTGTTGAGATAGGCTGATTCTGGCAGCTTTGCCATGGCAGCTGTTGTCGGTGTTCTCACACCGTGGTGTAGCACTTTACCCGAACGCAGGCTCTGCAGTTTGTAAAAATGTCGATTTGGCTAACTTGACAGTGTAAAAAGACTACTCGCTTTCAGAAAACGTAAAAAACTGACCACGAGGATCACGAGACAGAATCACGCGTTATACACGGAGGTGTAATAATATGCCTGATATAGTAAGGAATAATTTCATGATCATCGAAAACTATCTAGTTCATCATCAAATAACAAACTCCCATTTTGATTTTCATTACTCTTACAAACATATGTAGTATGGTGCAGTTTTGGCTTATCATATATGTCAACAATTAAAAGGAAAAATAGCATCCTTGGCTTGGTATATCACGTAGATGGGCGCGTCTCATGCAATGGAGAATATTTGGGAAAATGTCAATACCTGGGATTGCAGCGTGGTATGCGGCATACGCACAGCGCCCAGGGGGTAGTGAGCATCGATAATCACTAACAATGCGCTAGAATAAATGAGATGTGCCGGTGCCATTAAGAGTCATTACGTAGTCATTACGGGTGAGCCCGCAGTCTGAATGTGTCTTACTTGAACTATGAGGGAAATTTGCATGATGGGTGGTAAGTCCCGACCGACTCGTAGGCTCGTGCACGTTTCATCACCAGGATGCGTAATTCCCCGGAAAAAAACATTAATTGTCAGGCCTTTGTGTGTAAGTTGTTTGATCACGCTGTCTGCCTTCCATGCAATTTTCAAAATATATACAACATGCACACACAAACATAAGACCAGCGAATAAAGAACGGCATCTGACTGACCATCCACTTGAGGCAGCTGAGGCAGCCCATCTGGGCGCTGGCGTGGACAGGAGCCATGCCGTCCTTGGCGGGCAGGGTGAGCGAGCCGCCCTGCTCGTCCACCAGGTAGCGCAGCACCTCCAGGTGGCCCTCCTGGGCCGCCAGGTACACTGGCGTGACGGCGTTCTCCATCTGGCTGTTGGCGCTGCGGACAGAGGGCGGCGGTCAGAGGCGGTGGTCAGAGGCGGTGGTCAGAGGGACGGTGGCCAGAGGCGGTGGTCAGAGGGACGGTGGTCAGATGCGGTGGTCAGAGGCAGTGGTAAGAGGGACGGTGGTCAGAGGCAGCGGTCAGACGCAGTGGTCAGAAAGACGGTGGTCAGAGGCGGTGGTCGGAGGCAGTGGCCAGAGGGACGGTGGCTAGAGGCGGTGGTCAGAGGCAGTGGTTAGAGGGACTGTGGTCAGAGGCAACGGTCAGAGGCAGTGGTCAGAGAGACGGTGGTCAGAGGCGGTGGTCAGAGGGACGGTAGTCAGAGGCAGCGGTCAGAGGCAGTGGTCAGAGAGACGGTGGTCAGAGGCGGTGTTCAGAGGCAGTGGTTAGAGGCACGGTGGTGAGTGGCAGCGGTCAGAGGCAGTGGTCAGAGAGACGGTGGTCATAGACGGTAGTCGGAAGCAGAGATCAGAGAGATGGTGGTCAGAGGTGGCGGTCGGCGGCGGCGGTCAGAGAGACGGTGGTCAGGGACGGTAGTCGGAAGCAGTGATCAGAGAGATGGCGGTCCGAGACGGTGGTCAGAGGCAGTGATCAGAGAAACGATGGTCGGAGCAGGACGGGGTGATTAGACCAGGTTAGAGTGGCCAAAGGGAGGGATGATCGGAGAGAGTGGCAGAAGCGTCAAAGGGGGATAAGCCAGTGATCGGAGGGGAACGTTATTTGTAAGCACTCGCGCGGACGGTAATCATCAATGCATTCTCACCAGCCAAATTCACGAGGTGAGGATATTCCAGTGGATTCGACAAGTCCTATACGGATCGACTCCCAGCGGCGTAGGGCCCCTGTCGTGTATGCTAAGGTATCATCTAGCTGCATGGTAATAGCAATTACGTCCGCTACTACCTCGCTCGTCGCACGTTGCAAAAGGCGTCTTACTGGTTTCACATTCCTGCCCTGCAGTGGAGCGATTATCATAACACACTGTTTTCGGAGTGGTAATTCCCTGGTGATTAATTACCCATTAAGATAAAATCGCAAACTGCTAACAAATGAGGGTAAATTGGCGTGCTAGAATATGTCCTCGCTGTTTGCTTACACCTTTGCGGAGTTCAGTAAGCAGAACACCGCTTGATGGAAGTTGCAAAACGAATTTGTAAGACACTTGCAGAACTACTGAGTGGTCACAGCGAGTCGTTTAAGCAGCATTGTGATGTGACAGTTTTGAAAAAAAAACAAATGCGGCATTTTGCAAGACATTCAACCTTAAGTCAGGGACACGTAGCACGATTTCCAGATCGGAATAATTCGAAAGCAGACGTAGTGCCTTACAGCCAACCAGAGCTGTAAATCAATCATCTTTCAGATGACATGCGTGACGGCTTCATCCCCATCTGATGAATCCATCATGTGTGTTTCGATGCTTCGACAAGCATGCATGTATCTAGCCACCGAGTCACCGAGGCAAGGCGTTGAAGGAAATGACCAAGCATACCATCTTCTACATGGGCTGAATGGTCTAAAAAGTAATCGCTGCAATCGATCACACTTTCGGGGAAAGTCGGAAGGGTGCTGTTTAGCAAGGCTGAAGGATTAACGATGTTTATTGAGCTTCGAAAAGATTGTTCAGAAAATTTTGAGCCATTGTGGTAAAAGAAAAAGTGGCGACCGACAACGCCTGTTGAAAGAAGAAACAATCCACCTTCACATCCAAATCGAGCTCAAAATCGAAAGACTTTTCGAAGAATCGAAAGACGAAAGTCATCCCGTTTCAACCGCATGTAAAAGAGCTGGAAAAATCTACATCAGTGAGCGGTGTGGTTTCCCCCAACTACGGTGTGAATTCCTCCCTGGCTCCGCGCCGATTGGGGTTTCCAAATCGGGCCGGACGGAATGTTACACCACAGCATGACGGCGGCCAACGGCGCGCCAGTTTGGAAGCCGCCGGCGCTGCACCTGGCGCGGCGAACTGACGGGCCATTCAGGGGTCACCTCGTTCTGGGCCAGCAGACGGATCGCCTGCCATGACCTGGGCGGTCAACCGTGCAAGCTCTGTCACCTGCACACGGACGGAACGACATAAGCGTCAGGAGAGTGGGGCATCGAGCGACGAGGAGGGTGAAATGACGCCGAATGGTGCGGCTCGGGGGAGGGGGTGGGCGGTGCCAGCAGGTCGACGGGTCAGCAGCAGGTCAGCAGCAGGTTAAGGGGTGTTGTATCTGCCGTCATCCATACGGCGCAGACGTCGCCAGAAACAGGGAGACGGGAGAGTGGGAAGGGGCGATATCGAGAACAGGTGGCGGTGGGGAAAAGTTTGCAGATATTTGAAGGTATTGCGTTTGCAGTTAGTCCAAAAAAAAAATCACGTGAAGGTAGAAAATGTGGGTGGGTGAGTAAAAGACAAGCGGAAAGAGAGATGGAGAGGAGTGAAGTGAGAGAATGAGAGAGGGGGAGAGAGAAAAGAAGAAAGAGTCAGAGGGGCCTTACCTATATGAAGATAAAAATATCTTATCTATGTTAATATCTTCATTAAAAGAAAGTGTGAGCAGGCAAGGAAGTATACATACTGACATGGCGATTTTTAAAAAGGACAAGACGGGCCAATCGGATCCGAAGCCACAGGGGTTACTGAGAACGGCCGGGGAAAGGGAGATAAAACAGATCATTTGCCAGAGCGGGCCGAGCGGAAAGAAGATGGGTTCAGTCAGGCGCCAACAGGGCGTGCTGAGAAAGGAGCACAGATGGGCGTCATGGATGGGCGATGAGCCCCTCCATGCATAGAAACAGAAGTTAAAGAGGTAAGCAGAGGTGGATCAGTGGGGTGCGTAAGTGGAGTGGGCAACTGACTACGTCGGCAGGTATTTGGCGTCGGCCGACTTTGTCGTCTTTTTCCGTCGCTCTTTCTCTGCGTGCCAAAATAACCGTCAATGCCGATTTCTTGTAGCGCACCTGTATGAACCGCGACAGTGCCATGGGCACATGACTAGCTGCACATTGGAGCTCAGTAATGGTTGCGGCTGCCTCATATTGGCGTTAAGGGAATGACGCTCCATTTTGGGGACAACTGAAGCCTCAGCGCCTTTGCACAACCTCAGGCTGATCAATGGGAGTAGCCATGGGCAAGGCTGTATTGGGAGCTGCGGTTTGGCCCGTTAATAAAGCGCGCTTTATCTTCATTAGTTTTGGCGCACTCACCAATGCGTGAGAACAAATGGACCATAAAATTTGGCAGATCGCTTCCGTCGCTCTCGCCTGTAAAACAGAGGCCAATCTCATTCAGGGATGTAGGTCATCCATTCGGCAAATTGGCATATGCTAGATTTCTTGAGACAAACGGTTGGTCCAAAATGCGCCACGCGACCTGGCGGCATTATTCATGCGCAACGGATGTATTGGCAGCGGATAGAAAATGGTTCTTGCTGACCTCAGAGGCGAAGCACTTAAGGTGGCGCATAGCCTGTTATATGGTCGGCATTAGCGTCGGTTCATTGGAGATTTCAGCATAAAGCTGGTTTGTTCTCACGACCTTCTAAGGCTTAATCCTGGCAGAATGATGCCATGACCAACTCACCCTTGTAGTATAGTCGATCGTATTATAGGCGTCGCTTTGGACAGATAAGGTGGTATATGTCCAAACGTCCAGCATAAATGACCATAGTACGTGTTACAAATACTCTATTCAAACCTCGAGCACCAGTGCTCAAGTTCAACAACCTTGCCGCCGGCATGCATGACTTCAGGTGCTTTCTTATGGGCTCGACCCACTGGGGTATTCAAAGCCTGCGTTGGCATGGATCGCCGGTTCTCATGATCTCTCTTGATCTCATTGGCACGATCGCATGGTTCTCAGCGGCTTTCGATCTGTTCGCACGCGTCCGGGTAGCCGGTCGAATACCCTTCACCCGGGTGGGGGTCAATATGACCCAGTGAAATCTCAGAAACTAAAGGAGCTGAAGACCACAAAATCACAGGGTGTGTTAGCCTGTATGTGATCTCACTTTTGTCGAAATTTGAGGTTCCTAGGTCATGACTTTTGCGTTAAATAAGGTCAAACAAGGTCAAAATGCAGATTAGTGTCCAAACTGTCCCAGAACTTAGACACTGGTTCTAAGCAAAAAATCACTGGTGCTCCTTTTTTGGTCAGGGAACTTGTTTGACCTTCAGGATGTCATGACGACCAAAATCACATAATGCTGCTTTGAGTTTTGCATTTGAATAAGCGTTCGAGATTACGCTTTGCAGTATGCTCCTAAAAATAAAAAAGGTTGGCACGGACCATTTTAGGTCAGTGGCCTATCCTTACTCTTGAAAAGCCTATGAAAAATGTATAATGCATCAATAAATTCGAAATGAGCACCAGAATTTACCACACACAGCAAGCTCTAGAGTAATAAAGCAGGTTTATTTTGGCCTAGGTCTGACCTTCATACCGGACACTAGGTCCTAGGTCAATGGAATCTGTTGATCAGATTGTTGTGTTGACTAAGAAACTATTGAAGCACTCCGTTGTTGTATCAGATTGAACGATTTCCTAGAAATCGTCCTCGCTGAGTCCATGTCATGACTTTGGCCTGTCGAAGATCAGCGACCTTACAACGTACATGCAGATTTTTGAAACCAAACGATCCGCTATTCAGTTGTCTACAGTATCCAAAATTTGGCGCGGCTACGCCGCGCCGTTTGGAAATCGTTCAGGAAAAAACTTTGAAAGCGTCAGTTTGATCCCCACTCCAGCGTGTGTTAACGGACAACGAATCATGGAAAGTTGGCGCATGAAGCTAAAAATGGGGGTAAAATAATAATCTGGGACGTTCGTTTCGCTACTGACAGGGTTCACAGCCCAGTACAGCGTCCCCAATTGCTAAGCATAGTAATTGTTACACGGCCTCCAAGTAAGAGAGCCTCGGGAAAATGTTATTGGCACGACTTTAGACGTCATTTGAGTGCCTCCGGTAGTCAAAGGAGCTAATAGCCACGGAAAAAGGCTGACCGGCCAGGGCCTCAAGCTTGTGCAGATGAAAATAGGTCATCAAGGACGATTGATCGATTGATTATTGGCGCTTGCGGACTGTTGGGGTCGTTTTACGCCTGAGTCGTCAAGGGAGAGCAGAAATGCCAACACATTTCTTGTGATTTGTTTCAGGTGATAACGTCAAGTTGGGAGCTTGTTACATAATTCCAAAATTCCCACACATTGTCCGGCCTTCATTTGCTGCAGTAAATTAAGGCCGATGCCCTGTTCGATACCGAGGCTGCGCCATCGATAAAACTCTCGGCTGGCAAAACAAGAATGTCAAAGTCACCAGCATGGGCATGCTTAGAAAGATCACTGGCGTGCGCATCGGCAATCAGGGAGCGTCGAAAGAAGGGGCAGGCAATGAAGAGCTCTCCTAACCTTTAACGGCATCCACCACAACCATCAGCGCGGAATCGGCTGGTGGGGAGGTAAGTGACAACCTGCGCAAACAGCAGCGACATGGGGCGCACAGCCCAGCCTCTCACCACCAAGGGGATCCGCGTGCAGCCGAGTGAAGGTACAGATACCGTGCTGAACACGCAGCCCCGAGCGGTCCGCCAGTCTCTGCCGCTGGCCGCGATAGTTCCCTCTCCCCACCACCCGGCTCCAGCCGGCGGTCTAAATCCCGCCGCTGCCGGGAACTGCGGATAGTTTACGGGCAGAAACGCCGCGGAGCTGGGTCGGCGCGAGACAACGGCCTCGGGCCGCAGCCTCCGCGCGGCCAGCACCATTCCCACGGCGACGCGGAAGCGACGACAGTCGTTCGCCCGCGGCCCGCTCGCCTGCGCCGTGTTCGCCGCAACGGCGCAGAAACGGCGCACGAGCGAGCGCGCGCGCGCCGATGACGCGCCGCGTCGCCAAACGCCGCGCGCGCGGCCGGCTGTCGGGCACAGTTAGCCGCGCAGAACATCTGATGGCCGCGTCTGCCCGCTCTCGGGGCTACAGTTGGCTGAGCGCTAAATCCGCCGGCACCGCGGCGCCGGCGGCCGGCAATTACCCCCGCCGGACTGAAGCCAAAGTGGCGTGTCTAAAACGCGTTCTCAGGCTACACAGCGGTGAGGGCTAAGTGACGTATCCTATCAACACAATAGCGCGGTTGGAGGGCACTCGACTGGTTTGGCGTCGGCTAACGGACGCACGTTCCGGCTGTCAGTCCCACAAACTGGCCGCTGCGTCTATGGTTTGGAGCTAGTAGACACACCATGCGGCTCACACGGACTTACATGGATAGTTACATGGAAATAGCACGTGTTTCATTTCCGACCTTGATGGATGTTGTCTGTTTATACGCTCCTTACCAGCTGGACGTTGCATGATTCACCACAAAAACTTTCCTTTAGCAGCTGGAACGACTGCGTTAAAGATGCAAAAATTATTCAAACCCAGCGCCGGCCCCGCGCTGGCAACGGCCTAGGCGTACGAGTGCCGGCTGGAGACGGCGACTCTTAACTCTGGTACGGCACTGGTACGTGCTTTGAATGTGCTCAATACAGGCCAGCGTGTTCCGGTTTCGGAAAATGCAGGCATTGTCTGCTCCAGTACCAGCCGCGGGCGCTGTGAAACCCCGATTTTCCACGTCAAGTCTACACGCGTGAGTGCCGGTAGCCGCTCGCTCCATTTCCAGCTCGCTTCCTTGTTCGCCAGCTTGCTCATTCCTCCACCTGCCGTTCCTGCCTCTCCGCTCTCTTGGCTGACGCGTTTCGCACGACTAGCACGTCTTTCCATGGACGGTGAGAACGCATCCGCCCCTTTCTCCGGACGGCACAGAGGCCGCCGCCATGTCAACGTCGACCGAGAACGAGCGTGCGTGCCCGCACCTTCGGCGTGGAGCTCTTCGGGACGAGCGCGCACGCGACGCGTGACGGCCCGCCGGATCCCCCCTGCTCTCCCAGACAGTCAGATCGATTTCGCCAGGCTCGAGCCGCGGGGCGGGGAGCCATGCTGCTGACGGTCTATGCGGCCGGTTATTTTACTGCGCTAGAGTGTCGTTACGCGTCATATATATATATATATATATATATATATATATATATATATGCATTACTGCGTGTTATATCATTGAATCTTTCGGTACTTATCATGTTAAGGAATCGGCAGTTGGTGTGCAATGTTCACGCCATCTGAAATCGTTTTCAGCCATAACGTTGGCGCTTTCGCAAGGAGTGAAACGTATAGTGACACGGCACGTAGCAATCTATACGTGTTGTTGCAGCATTACGGTTTAACGACGCATTCAACAGCTAAGGTCGGTTAGTATCAAAACCTCCGGCGCTATTATGGCTGAGAGGCGCGCACTCCCCCAGCTGAGCCACATCGTCCCTGTGGCGGTCGAGAGCTGTTAGCAAATACAACGCCAAATGCGGTACCTGAGGGCGGCAATAGTTGATAAAAGTCTATACAGACGAGGCTATCTCTGCTGTTCTCCTTCATGCATTCATGCTTAAGAACTGACGGGCCCAGGATGTTCAAGTTCGGAGAGAAAAAAAAAACGCCGAGTTGTCAACTCCAGAACGAGCGGATCCCTCGTGACGAGCTGTCAAGTCCGGATCGAACAGATCCCACGCGGCGAGCTGTCAAATCCAGATCGAGCAGATCCCTTGCGGAGAGAGCGAAAGTGAGGAGCGCTTTCAAGCTCCGGGATGCGAAGTGACCCGGGCAGGCCAGCCCGGAGCTCACAACGCCAGGCTAACGAGCCCCTATCCCGGAGAGCGGAGCGGTGACCGGCGCGTCGGCCACCTGCTCCCAGAGCTCAGCGCGCCGGCCAGTGCAACGCCGCCCGACCGTTGTGCGCGACCATCTGGCGGCCAAACCGCTCACCGCCCACCGCCCACCGCCCACCGCCCACCGCCCACCGCCCACCGCCCGTATCGCTCGAGCGAACACTGCCTCGCCCGGGCGCGGTTAGGGCGGCTGCGCGCCGCCCACGGCGTGGCTGCAGGGCCGAGGGCGAGGGAAAGGACCCTTTCGTTGACCGGGTTCCAGTTCAGGCTGGGAGGCATTCGCGTGGCTTATTGACCATGACGGAGACGAAACGAGAGGCGGTGTGACAGACCCAAGGAGACCAAACGCGCAGAGCACCACTTCGACGGTTTACAGCAAATTATCACCTCTCTTTAGAAATTATTTTCGCGCAACAATCCCAGCGCCCAGACCCATTCGGGTGTAAGCGCTTTACAACGTTTTCAAGAGGCATCCGCTCTTATTTGTAGCATCCAGGCAGCACCGAATCCTAGACGGCTACCTCGCCTTCCTTCCGGACTGCTGCCGAGACTGAGGGAGGAGAGGGGAGGGGGGAGCGGGCGGCGCCCCGCAGCCCGGCACGTTTGTGCCCGCTCAACTCTCAGCCCGGCCTGTACCCGGCTGACTGGCGGTCACGTCCCAAGCGGACTGGGATGGCGACGGCGGTCCGTGGTCCGCGTGCGAGCGGCGCATCGATGCGGCGTGGGTGAGGGCGGCGCCAAACGTGTACGGCGACTCCGTGGGAGTCGGCATTGCGGCCAATGGGATCGACCAGGCGCTCAAGAGCTGTTGAAGAATTTCAGGGAGGCGTTTTGCGTGGGAACTCCAGAAGCGGAATATCACGACCGTAACTAAAAGTGTTTTCTGTGCGTGCACGACGCACGGTGTCTCCCTGACGACTTCGCTGTCACTTCTGCAGCAGGCGGCCGTCGAACGGCCAGCGCTGGGGCCCTGCCCCGACATTGCCGCGGGCGTCGGCCGGTGGCGTGTCAGCGGCCCACCAATACAGAAAGCGCAGCGTGGCGCGGTGCCGCGGCCGCGTCCGGTGGCTGGCGGAACTGACGAGTTCACGAGCGACCAACAATGCCCGCGCGGCTGCAGCAGAGCTGCGCAGGCTTGCAAATAAACCGACCGCGACGCGCGGGCAAACGCCCGGAATCTGTAGCCCCGCTCGACTGTTTCAGCAATTTAAACGCAAAAATAAAAGTATACCTGTAGTGATAAGCACACTTACAAGGTCCAATAACTGCATGAGGGCCGAATTTGAACAGGGCTTCAAGGCCATCTGACGGGCTGAGTGCAATCGCCACGGCTCGCGGGACTCGACTGCGCTGTATCGGTGAGCGGGCGGTGCTCAGGCTCAGCCGCCAGAGTGCCGGTCCGTCGCCTCCGATGGGCTGCTCGTGTTACGCCCGGTGCGGTGAGGGCGACCGGCCGTCACTAACGCCACTTCATCAGCCGCGACGAGCCCGTCAGAGACGATCAAACAGCGGTGATGAGGGGTGGCGACGGACGGAGGCGCTGCCGCCGCCAGTCTGTCGTGGGCCTAGCGCAAAGATCTGCTCTGTTTGATGTCACGCTTACTTTGGACTAATTTGGAGTTCGCGGATTCTTTTTGCTTCGCCCTTTTGCACGACGTGCTCCCGTCGGTAGGCGGACTCCGGCTGTCTCGTGAACGAACGTGGTCAGCGACGTTTGGAGCATTTACTGGTCACGCCATATCGATGACGTGGACAAGCCTTCACGGCGACGAGCTCCGGCTGAGCCGATGCCGCGTAGCTGGTTCATCTCACCTGAGCGGCCGCCGGTGAGCCCTGGAGCTGGGTGCGTCCCTGTCCGGCCGGCTGGCGCGGGAGGAGGCCGTTTCGGGCCGGTCCTGCCTCCCCGCGTCCGCCAGCGGCTCCTCCGCGCCCTCATCCGCCTCCCCCCAGGCGGCGGGCTCCGTGGTGGCGCCATCTAGCGCGCCCGTGGCGTCGCTCGTCCCAGCCGGACCGGGAGCGTCGTCGCTCGGTCCGCGGGCGTCCATCACGCCGCTCAACTCCGCCAGCGTGGGCGCAACGTCGCTCAGCTCTCCCGACGAAACCTCGAGCGTCTGGTCGAGCGGCGAGCCCGGCGCCGACGACGCGCGGCCGTACACGCTCTCCGCCGCGCTGTCGGCGCCGTCGGCAATGCTGTCCGCCAGGTCCACCACGTCTGCCTCGTCCGCTGACCCCCCGTCGCTCGCCACGACGTCGACGAGCGTGGTGTGCGGCGAGCGCACGCGCACCTGTTCGTCGGCGGCCACGCGCTCGCAGGAGGAAGCGGGCCGCAGCGCGCCGGCCAGCCGCGCCTGAACCTCGAGCGCTGAGCGCACCGGCAGACTGTTGCGCCGCTGAAAGGCGCCGCGCGCGCCGGCCAGCGCCTCGAGCGACCCGCGCGCCCCCGCCGCCAGCCGTGGCGACGACGTGGCCAGCGGGCGGGCGAGCGGCTGCGGCGGCGGCGGCACCGGCGCGCGCGCCACCTCCTCCACGCTGCAGTGGACCAGCGCCGGCATCGAGACGGACGCGGTGCGCGGCGCGCCGTCCGGCTCGGCGTCGCTCTCGGAGCTCGGCTCGGCACCGCTCGGGATCGTCTCGTAGATGTTCTCGGCGCCGGCAGGCTCGGCAGACCGCTCCTCAGCCGCCGGCTCCGCGGGCAGCTGGCGGCCGGCGAAGCGAGCGCGCCGCGGCGGCCGTCGCCGCTGCGGCAGCGGCGGCCGCTCGTCGTCCGTCGACGGCGGCGCCGGCGGCGGCCGCGGCCGCACGCCGCGACGCGACGAGCGCGCGCGTGGGTCGGTGCGGCGCCGCGGCCGCTCCGACTGCCGGCCCTCCAGCTGTAGCGCCGGCAGGGAGTCCAGCGAGTGCGACAGCAGGCTCGGTCCGCGGAAGCTGTGCGAGCGCGGCCGCGGCGGCAGCACGTGGTTCAGCGGCACGTCAAAGGCCGGCTCGAAGCCGAACTGGCTGGCGCCGATCAGCCGCGCTCGCTTGACGTGGATCGAAGGCCGCAGCACGGCGTGCCGTTCCAGCCGCCGGCTCGCTTTGCCGTGCTTGCCGCTGTGCGAGTTGCCCATGGCTTGCGCGGCGCGACGCCCTCACTCACTCACTCATCTCCGCGGCGCGAGCGGCGCACACTGGCGATCGGCGCCGGCGGACAGTGTGGACGACGGCGGGCACGGCGCGGCAACTGGCCGGTCCAACGGTTCGCTCGGCGTCCACGCGCCATCTGGCGCGCGGCCCGCCGGCAGACGGCTGGTCAGCGCACGGGTGCACTCAGCCGCGACTGCAGCCGCCCGCCCGCCGCCGGCCGCCCGGCCGCCGAGTCAGCAGGCCAGCATACAGAGTCGGCGGTGTGGCATACCGAGTCGGCGTTGTGGAATACCGAGTCAGCGGAGCGCGTACCGTGTCGGCGGTACGGCGTGCAGAGTCAGCGGTATGACGTGTGGAGTCGGTGGCGTGGCGTTCTGAGTCAGCGGTATGTCGTGCAGAGTCAATGGTATGGCGTACCGAGTCAGCCGTATGGCCTACTGAGTCAGCCGCATGGCGCCCAGAGTTGGCGGTGTGGCATACTGAGTCGGCGATGTGGCGTACCGAGTTAACGGCATGGCACACAGAGTCGGCGGTGTGGCATACTGAGTCGGCGGTGTGGCGTAACGAGTCAGCGGCATGGCGTACCGAGTCAGCAGTATGGCGTACCGAGCCGGTGGTATGGGTTAACGAGTCAGCGGTATGGCATCCCGAGTCGGTGGTGTGGAATACCGAATATATGGTGCGACATTCTGGGTCTGCGCGGCCACATGCGCTGTCGGCGGAGCGACATATCGAGTCATCACATCGGCATGTCGAGTCAACAGACCGAGTTGCAAGTGTACAGGACATTGTGTTGAGTCAAGTTGTCAATTGCATTGAGTCAAGGAAGAGATATCAGTTAGTTTTCTAAAAGATGCAGCACGACCGCCTTGCGCTGATGGATTTCTGGGATCATAGATCACGCCAAGCAGTGCATGTTGCGGGAGTCCTGGTCTTTGCCATCCTAACGTGCAATTTTTGGTCAACAGAAGCATTTGGCGGCAAAATTTCAGCGCGCTGCAGTGCTCAGTACGGTCCGTTTTCTCCCCTAACATCACCTGACCTTTAGCTCGAACGCTGCCACCGGGCGCAGGCCATCTCTGTCAAGAGCAAATAGTGAGCGCCTAAAGCGGTTCGAATCCACTACGCCAGAGATGGATGGATCGGAAGCCGGACGCTCTGACCGACTGAGCTATCGGATCGGACCCCGGCGGGATGGTTGGCATGCTGAGTCAAAAGCGTGGCAATTTGAATCAGCACGTCGAGACACCGGACCCAGCGAGTAAGCATACGGGCTCGTCGACTTGACATGTCGGCCTACTGCGATGAATGGTAGTCGGGCATATCTCTCGGGCTCTATGGCGTGGTCAAATGTACAATGATAGTCACTTTCCGTTCTTAAACGCAAATGGCACGCCACTTTCCCTGAACAACCCCGCACCCTGCTTCATATTTAGCGTCATGCGATGCGCGCACGCATGTACCCCCACGCATCGGCATACGCATGTTCACATCATACGCCATGGCGAGTCGGAAAGCATGCTCGAACGATGCTCCCCGAGTCGGAGACGATGCTATGGTACACTGTCGCGAAGCAGTCCCCGACCGACCGCCTGGAACGGACGGGGGCCAGTGGAGACTTCTGACAAGCGTGCTCACCGCGGTGGTCTGGCTTTTGCATGCAACCGAACGTAACGCCACTGGGACGGTTGCGACGCAGCGGATGTAGCGACTGTGGCAACAACAGGGTGTGGCCAATGGGATAGTGTTGCGACCAGGCACTCGTGTTTCTGCAACCCCTTCAGATCAAGACTACAAAACACGGAGGCCAGCGTCGATGTTGTTACCGAAAACTACCGAAAACCATAGGCACGTGACCATCAGGTTTCAAACATCTAAGCTTCGTAGAACAATGTGGCGAACAAACTAGTAACGTTGGCAGCACTCTGCACTTAGAAGGTGGAGCCATGTGTATGGAAGTATCAGCTCAGAGATGCGCAAACGCACAAGTCGAATAGTTTCTGTTGCGAGGGCGCATAATGGCCCGCTAGGCCTGTTTTGAAAATGGCGATTACGGAATCGGCATGACATTGCTTTATTGATGTTTGTTTGCTTCTTGTCGTTCGTTTGTTTATAGTTGCGTTTCGGCGAGGTGACATTTTTAATTACTTCTGGTGCGGTGTAGGTGCTGGCTCGATTTAAAACCGCCACTACCCGAAGCATGTGGACAGTAGTGTGTTCAACGAATATTTTAAGCGCGAGCTATGCAATGATCAGTGATGGAGTTCTCGCACCAGCCGAAAGTAATCGTTCATTGCTCATTAAGAATTCACAAGGAAATCGATGACCAGCAGCTGCTCGCAGCCTTCGAAGCTCTCGTTCGCCAGTAGTGAGCAGGCTTTCCATTCAGACCTGCATCCATTTGTTCCTGCTTTTTACAGGCGTAGCCAAACATATGGTGCAGCTGAAAGTGCTGCGATACGCCGCCAAATTTATATAATTCCTACCTGATGGTGCGTGTTTCCACGCCATAAAACTAATCACAACCACTTAGGTTACAGCACAGTCTGCGCTCTCCAAAGGCTTAGAGCCGCTGATGCGAGACGAGCTGGCTAGAGATATTCCGATAAGCTGGACGAGAAGGAGACGGGACAAGAGGAATGAAATGGCGTGAGAGCACCTGCCGACAGCCACAGAATCACCGACGGCCACCCGTGGTGCTCTGGATGTCCCGCACACGGCCTTCGCCCGCCCAGCCAGCGGAATCCAAATCATCGCCGACCGCGCCCCGGTAGTTACGTGCGGCCGGGGCCGCACACGGCTGTCGCCATGGTAACGGGACGGGCGGGGCCGGCGGGCGCCGATGGCTCGTGATGCGACAGTTATGTGCGGAGGGGGACGGGTCGTCCGGTGGCCGCCAAAAGGGCCGGGTGTGCCCACCGGCAGCCGGCCGCAAATACGCGAGGACACCTGGCCGGGACGCACGGGAACGGATGGCGATATGCCGGCAGCCCTGATTAGACAAGGTCGCCGGAGGGGGACACGGTCTGTGGTTGCATCCGTAATTGACAGGCTGGGTCCAGCGATAGGGAGGGCCCTACAAAGGGGGTACTGGCTGCGACAGCGTCACAAACAAGGAAACGGAATGGCCGATAGTGTTCCTGGCGATGTGTGTGGCCCCAAGAGACGGACCTGAATCCGGGAGGTAGCAGATGTGAATGAAGGTGCGCCTTCGATCAATCCAGATGACTGCTCTGTTCTCCGTTCGTGTGACAACTGAGAGTGTGTGTTAGCGCACATGATTAAACCCTGTGCGGCCAATAACTGCAATGGCTGCGGTGTCCGACTGATACAAGCAGCGACAAACCCGAGTGAGCGATTATTGACAATCGCCGCAATTAGGTGACTCGCCTCCCGTTACCAATGCTTCCAAAAACGCATCGTGACAGCGTCGGTGCATGCATCCGCCCAGCTCGCCTCCACTGGGTCTGCGGTCTGATCGGATTTTGTAAATGGTCTCGCGTCGGCTAACGGACCGCCATCTGAGAGGAGCACTGGTCCGTGACGGTCGTCCAGACGGCTCCGGCGGCGCGGGCGGCGGCCGAGCGTCGAGGCCGGCCGGCCCGGGGCCGCTCGCAGCCGACGAGGAGGTTTCACCGCTCACAGTGGGGCGAGAGACCGCCGCCGATTCACCCAGCCGTGGGCCGTGCAACAAAGGGTTCGAGTGCCCGACTGGGCGGCAGGCAGGTGGGCAGACGGAAGGAGAGGTGCAGAGGGAAACTGGGGCGAGGCGGGAGACGGACATGCGGCAGACAGCGCGGCGTGAGAGGGCGGAGAGTGAGAAGATCCGGACAGAGGGCAGAGATAGAGAGAGGGGAAGGAAAAACAAAAGGTTATTGAGAGAGAGGATAGGACTAGAAGGAAATATGGGGAGGACGGGAGTAAAGGGGAGAGGTGGACATAAACGTAAAGCAGAGGAGAGGGACATGGAAGGGAACGATGGCGTACATGGGAATAAGTGAGGAATGGGGAAATAAAGGCAAGAGCACAGCGAAGGCAAAACAGTGAAAAGAGTCAGATCAACCTGCTTACAAGCAAATATATGGTGCTGTGCAACAACGGAGCGAGGAAAGGAACGTAATGGAGGGCAGAAGAAAAACGCAAAAGAGGAGAGAAGAGAGCGCGAGAAAAACCCTGTGCTTTGGGTG